CCTATTATGTAAAGGTACAGAATTCCAATGATGAATGTAACTGTATTGTATACCTAGATTGTACCGATAAACTCAATAAAAAAAAGAAATAGTTACTAATAGTCTTTTGGATTTCAGTGGCATCCATTAAGATTTTGTCTTTTTTGTTACTAATTGCATGTCAGAGGTCTCTTATTACCTTTTTTAGTAAGATTTTCTAAGGGTTTGCGGGGTTTTTTTTCCCCCCATTATTTCAAAGAACCAACTCTTCCTTGATTTTGGTTTTTTTTTTGGTCTCAATTTCATTAATTTCTGCTCTGATATTTTAATTTTCATTTATTGTATTAGCTTTGCTTTTGTTTTTCCAGAACCTTGAGGTACAACATTAGGTTATTTAGGCTACTTCTATTTTTCTGATATAAACATTCACTGCATAAACTTCCTTCTTATGACTGCTTTCATTGTATCCCATATGTTTTAATGGCATTATTGTTTGATTCTAGGAACTAATTTCTTCTGTGATGCATTGTTTATTCAAGAGTGCATTGTTTAACCTCTCTGTGTTTACATAGCTTGTTTGTTTCTTTTGCCAGTGATTTCTACTTTCATTTCACTATAGTAAAGTGTGGTTCAACACTGATATTTCTTTGTTGATTTTTTTTTTTTGACTAGTTGATCTATTTGTGATAGTGTGGTAGTGAGGTCTCCTACAGTACTTGGGTTGCTCTTTATCTGATCTCTCATATCCAGTAGTGCGTGTTTTATGAGCCTGGGTGTGTTGGTATTCAGTGCATATATATTTATAATTGTCATTGCTTCCTTTTGCATTGTAGGGACCTTCCTCACCTCTTCTGACCAATTTTTGTTAAAGTCCGCTTTGTCTGGAAATGGGATAGCCACTCCTGCTTGATTCTGGATTCCCATTGCATGGAATATTCTTTTCCATTCTTTGATTTTTAGTCTATAAATTTCTTTTTGGATTAAATGTGTTCCTTGCATATAGCATACTGTTGGGTTTCTGTTTTTGGGTTCAGCCTGTTAATCTGTGAGAAATTCTGATAATTAACATTGGGAGTTACTACTACAAGGTATTGACATTCCTGTCATTGCCTTATTTTCTTATTTCTGATTCCTTTTGTTCCTTTCTGTTTCCCTGGTCACCCTAACTGATGCACTGTTTGACATTGTCTCTTGATTTTTTAGAGTTTCTCTGTCATGGAGAGAACTTATTTCTCTATAAATTTTGAACAATAGTTTTTCAGAATCTATTAATAGTCTGGATAAGATGTTATTTTCTCTTAGGGATTGTAGATCTTAACTCCATGTTCTCCTGGACTTTAAGATTTATGTCCTGTAATTTTAATGGGTTTACTTTATAAATGATTTGTTGCTTTTTTTTTCTATCCATTTTAAAGTTTCTTTGAATCTATGTTCATTAAAGAGATTGGCCTATAGTTTTCTTTTTTAGATTGAATCCTTCTCTTATTTTTGAGTCAAGATATTTGATTTTTGACTGTCATGTGTTTTGGAGAATTTCCTTTCTGATCTTGGATATTTAAGGTTCTATATGCCTTGTTTATCTTGTTGTATGTTAAATTCTTTCCCCGTACATGGAAAGTTTCCTGCTCTGATTTCTGTAAACAGGGTTTTTATGCCATCTGTACTGTCTTCTGATTTTTTCACTAATTCAGTTAACCTGAGATTAGTCTTTGTGTCAAGTAGCAGCTGTTGAATCCATCTTCCATCTTCTCATGTTGTTGTTATCTTGGAGTACGTAAGTCAACAGAATCAGTCCTGTTTTCTATTTCTGACAATCTCTTCTTACATTGGTCACTTCTGTTGCCCATACTTTTAACAGAATTTTTTTTATATCTTGGATTTCTATTTGGTACCCTTTATGAACTCTAATTCTTTGGTAAACTAGTCTTTTCTGATTTGTATTGTTTTGTTTAACTCAACTGGCTTTTATTTAATGTCTTCTCTAAGCTCACCGATCACTTTATTAAATCTATTATCTGTTTAGTTATATCATCTTTGAACACAATGATCACTTTATCAATCTGCTTTCTTTTTCTCTTCTTTTATCACATTATATTTCAGCCATTTGCTTTTGATCCTCATAGCCTTTCTCCATCAATGCATCAGCTTTAGGGATTTGGCAGAGTTTGGAGGCATTTTTTGCTCTTTTTTTCTCATGTTTCTATTGTAGGTAATGGGGAAGCAGGGTGGGTTGAGGGGGTTAAGCAGTCCTCCTCTGGCCGCACATAATCCAGCACTTTCAGACTCCCCCCCAAAAAAAAACCCCCACACACTGGCTTCTTACCATGGTGGACAGGATCCCTATAACCTTCACATCCTAAGCTTTCACAGAAGTTCTATGATTAGCCTGTACCCTCTCTATGATTGTCTCTTGTGGCCATCTCTCACCCAGTTATTGTGTCACCATGACTCCAAAAAACTCTGAAGTGTAGTTGTGTTGTTGCAGAAGAAATTGGTAAGGGACACACACACAGAGACAGAGAATGGAAGTAAAATAATGAAAGGTTTATTTTGCCAGCAAAACATCGATTGCACTAAGTGCAGTGCCAGTGATTAACCCTGTACTGGGTTGCAACTTCTTCTTTTATAGGTTTTACAGCTATGATCTCATTCAGGTGGCTATTTTTCATTTCCTCAGTTCACATTATCCATGTACAAATCACAGTGACAAGACAGTTAACTTTAACTCAGACGTACAATTCCTTGTAGTTAGGGAGTTTACCTTAAGATTCCTCTAGCTATCTATTCTAGTGCACAGGAAGTAGGTGCTTAAGGTCAGGGATGAGGCCAGCTGTCCCATTTCATGGTCAGTGCCTCCGCTGTGTGTCAATTTTGAACTAAACAAAGCAGAAAAGACTTCTGCTGTTAGAGACAGCAGAAGTCATTTTACATTTTCCTAACTTTTTTTTTCCTTCTTTCCTTTTTCTCATTGAGTTTAATGGTACATTTTGGGTATACAGTGCAGTTACATTCATCATTGAGATCTTGTGCCTTTACATGACAGGTCTCGTTTCTCATTTTTTCCCCGTACTCCAGCCCTCCCTTCAACAGCAGGCATTTTGCAACACAGATGTGGTGACATACATTAACCAACCCCCAGTCGGTGCCAGTCTAAAACACAACTGTTTCTTTTTTTTCTTTTTTTTTTTTTATTTATACGGGGGATTGAACTTGGGTCCTTGTGCTTGCAAGGCAGGCCACCAAACTGCTGAGCTAAATCCCTGGCCCACAAGTCTTTTAAATCACTGGCCAAGTCTTGGTCTTAATCCACAACAGGCCACAGGTGTTCAAAAATTTTTTTAATTGAGTTTATTGGTACATTTTCCTAACCTTTTGTAGGTTTTTAGATTATTTACAGAAGTTTTCTGAACTTGGGTCCTTGTGCTTGCAAGGCAGGCCACCAAACTGCTGAGCTAAATCCCTGGCCCACAAGTCTTTTAAATCACTGGCCAAGTCTTGGTCTTAATCCACAACAGGCCACAGGTGTTCAAAAATTTTTTTAATTGAGTTTATTGGTACATTTTCCTAACCTTTTGTAGGTTTTTAGATTATTTACAGAAGTTTTCTGTATCAGTGTATTTGTTCTTTAACTCGGTATTTAATAATTAACTTCTTCTTGACCGGGCTCACACCTGTCATCCCAGCACTCGGGAGGCAGGAGGATTGCTATGAATTCGAGACCAGCCTGGACTACATAGTGAGTTCCGGGTCAGTCTCAACTACATAGTGAGACCCTGTCTCAAAAAACCAAAAAAGAAAAAAAAAATTCTCACAATGGCTCCTGATTAAACCCTCTCAAATATGGCGGATACTGCAATGGCATTCTTCTTAAGGTCTACCTTGGCTTGTGGAAGGAGTTATTTTCAAAGTAAAAACCTGATATGGCTTCTTCAGTTCACAATAACCATGAGCTTTTGGGGGCTACCATAGCCAGCCCAATTTATTCTTTTTCCCTGGGGCGGCCAACCCTCTCAAGGCTTATCTTGTGTTGGTGGAGACAGATCCCTCTCCTCAGGGGACCAGGGTTACTATTTCAGACTACTTCATTCTTTTCTCTACTTTATGCTCAATTTCTGCAGCTTCTGTGTAGTTTCTAGTGTTCCTGTTGGCTCCCTCCTGATTCCTGTGTATCTGTTTCTTTTTCTCTTCACCAAGTTGTTGTCTAGATGTCTGGATTTCAGGTCCCAGAGAGGCTGTATGTTGCTACTGTTCTTTACTCTACTGTTTTTATTCTCTCCTGTACTCTGAGATCTTAAACAGTAAAAAAAAAAACAAAAACAAATTCAAAATATGAAAACCTTAGCTGAACACTATTCCAGAGGTTAAGGGTCACAAAGAGACTGCAAATCATAAATATGTACTACTATATTCTTTCTGTGTATTCATCACAGTTGGGTCTGACCTAGATTTAATCTCTCTCTCTCTCTTTTTTTTTTTTTGGTACCAGAGAACAAACTCAGGACCTTGCACTTGCCAGGCGGGCACTGTGCCGCTGAGCTAAATCCCCAGCACTACATTTACTTTTAGAAGTGAGACATTCTTGTGTAAATTATGTAAAGGATTATCTGCAAGAATTTATATTGTTTCTGTATTCAGCTTGATTTTTTAAAATATTTAAATATTTAAATGATTTTGATCATTTAAAGTCTTGATGTGACTGTTTCTCATTTTACTGTTTTGTTGACAAGCTAACCCCATTCTTTTAGTTTTCCTGCACAGGAAAAACCACTCTATTTCAAAGACAACTGTATTCTATTGTTACTGTCAATCTCTAACATGTTATTTTAATGATGAGTTCATCTTGATTTTTAAAATTCCATATGGATTATGCTAGATTTTATTAGATTTTTGCATACTATCAATAATTTTTCATGCATTTTATGTTTAGTCAACTAATTTCATTGTCAATGCATTTAAACACAAACATGTTTAATTTTTATTTATGATACTTTATAAACCTAAGTATAATTTTTTTCATCCAGGTCTGTTAAGTGTACAAAACACAACTGGAAGTTAGATATGAGCACCATGAAGTATATCAATCCTCCAGGAAGCTTCTGTCAAGATGAGCTGGGTAAATACCATCAATATTGATAAGTGCGCACTGCTATTGTTGTAATTGTAGTTCTTCTTTTTGACATATTTCCAAACTTTCTTGAAGATTTGGATACATTCTGATTTTAAAATGATCGATCTCTTTAAAAGGGATCAATATTGAAAATCCCAAATAGTGGATTTCTCAAATAATACTTTCACTTATTCATTGCTTTGGCAAATATTTGCTTAGACCTTGCCATGTGTAAACATTGTGCTAGATATTAAGAGGTACATAGATAGGTAAGATAGTCAATATTAAGAACAAAGATATGACAGTTTTGACAGACACAGTGTGTGATATAACAGTGGGCCTTACATTTTATCTGTGAAAATATACAAGATAAACTGTGTCCATGATCTTCTGAACACTAACTTGGTAGCCTATGATGATTTAAAGTTATTATTCGCATTCCATGGGTCAGAAGTCTAAAACAGGTCTCCCTGCTAAAATTATGATCTCAGCAGGGCTGCATTACTGTTTGGAGACTCTGGGGAGAATAATTTCCCTGCCTTTTCCAACTTAAAGAGGCTCCCTTTCTCCATCTTCATAGGCAGCAACATTGTATCTTCTGACAGCCCTTTTCTAATTCTATCTTTCCCTGTTTCTCTTCTGCCTTTCCTTTGCATGATCTTAACATGAGTTTCTAACGGGCAACGCAATGTGCAGCCAAAACAGAGCACCTATTGTGCAGCCCCAACTTATCCTCAAAATCCTTCCTCCTCCAGCATTCCCCATCTCTGTAAAAGGCCCCACATCTGTCCAATTGAACAAAACCTGAATGTCATCCTTGAGTCTTCTTTCCTTAAGCCCTACATCCAAACTAGTAATAAGCAAGGTTACCTCTGCCCAGTGCCTTCCAATTCCATGAGCCTCTCCATCTGCAAACCTCTGTTCCAAGCCAGGTGCTTTCCACCCCCTTGCAAGTTTGCTTGATCCAACCCACTCTGCTTTCAAAGATCTGAATTGCTTCATGTCACTTGCCAGCTCAACTTTCCAGTGGTTCCTTATGAACCTAAGAATGTATATCCCCTGTGGCTGAGCAATTCTACATCCAAGACCATGGCCCAGGGAAATAAGCACAATGTGTCAAAAGGCATAGGAACATTTATTCACAGTAACAGCTTACAAGACAAAAATTGGAGTTTAAACTTTAATTGTGATAGATCTTAAAGGTGATACTATTGAAGAAACTAAAATAATATTTATGGAATATAAGGCCAAAAATCAAGTTATAAATATTATACATAGTATAATCTATTTATGAAAAATGTATATGAATATACACATGTGGGCAATAGCAGGGTGGCCTTGGCAGTGGCTACCTGTGAAGGCAGCTGAGCTGGAGACTGGGTCTTTCAACTTGGTCTTTGATTATGCTACTTTTACTTTTTTTCAGACTTAAAATTTTTGTGGTCATACTATGTGATTTATAATATCAAGGTCATTTTCACCCATGTGTCTCTGTGAGACCAATTCCAAATGACTTTTTTCTAATACTGGGGATTGAATCCAGGGCCTTGCACCTGCTAAGAAGGCAGTCTACCACTGACCTACAGCCCCATCCCTTTTATTTTATTTTGGGACAGGATCTCACTAAATTAGCCAGCTCCCCTGAAAATTGTGATCTTCCTGCTCTGCCTTCCAAGTAGGTGGGATTATAAGTCTGTGCTACCATGCCTGGTTCACGGATACATTTTAACAGAAAGTACCATGAACAGGTATTCTCCCCCTTCCCCTGTGAAAGGAGGTGTCACCTCCTGAGGGTGCACACTTTGCTATGCACCCCAAGGAGGTAGAATACTACTCTGGGGAGAGTTGCTAACTGCGTTGACTATAAGTTCCTTTTCCTTCCACCCCTCAAAAGGAACACCTGGACCCAAGATATTCCCCCCAATAAACTCCACCCTGGGTCTGCAATCCTAGCTCAGGAAGCTAGGAACTGGTTATTGTGCTGTATAAATACTGTTAAATTTTATTTGGTATAAAGATATTGAGCACAAGTTCAGATGTAAACACTCTTCGTTTGCACAAGTGAAAGGACAATAGGTTGTCAGCTTTATGAATTTATAATCCACAAATATACAGCTGCTCAGGGACTTTCATAAGAATTCCTAAGTCTACTGTACAAGACCTGTAGTGAAAGGGTTGAGGGTGGAGGTAGTGGCTTTTGCTAGCTATGTTTCAGTCCTGGCTCTGTGATATGGGGTGAATTATTCAATCTCTTTGTACTTTAATTTCCTGAAACATAAAATGGAGATATTTGGTTGTCATTTTACTGGATTGCTGTAGAATTTTTAAAGTTAACATGTTGAATTCTCTGTACCTGATGCACAGAGTGTTATGATTTAGTAGAACAAGTATGTCTCAAACAATCTGCATATATTCCTCAGCCCAGGCCTGCAGGAGCACGAAGCAGACATTTCTCTCCCAGTGGAAGAAATTTCTCTTTCAGTTGGGTCAACTGGAAAATACATCGAGAACTGATTTGGGTACGATGGTACATACCAGCAATTCAAGCACTTTGAGAGGCTGAGGCAGAAGGATTGCAAGTTCCAGCCACGCCTAGGCAATACAGTGTGAACTTGTTTTGAAACAAAGAAAGAGAAGGATGGACACACAGAAAAAAGGAGGGTTGGGGGAAGGCCGGGGATGTAGCTCAGTGCTAAGGTCCTGGATTCAATGCCCAGTGTGTGTGTGTGTGTGTGTGTGTGTTTGTAGGTGGGGGGTATTAACTGTCACTGTAGACAAGGCCAGCAGTGACTGCAGAGCTGGTAGAAGGGTGCAAAATAACAAACTCCAGCAAATTCCAGTGAAGTTCAACCTTTTCGAGAGAGGAAACATCACAAGATGGGAAAATTTGGGAAAAGAATTTGCTTTTCAGTCTAATGTTACCAGTACTGATTGGGCTTCCTATGTCCCAAGAAGGAAAGTAGGTTTTAGTCCACCTGAGGATAGGTTATGAGCTCTGAGTATTTGGCTTTATTGTTATTGTAAAAATGGCCATGCTCAGAATGTTGGAAATCTGAAAAGTAGAAGAATCTTACTTATTTTTCCATCACTTAGATGCTTTTGATATATTTTGTTCTGGCGTTTGATGCCTCCCCTCCTCCTTCCTTTGCTACTGCTCTGTCTGGAGAAATAATTTATGTACCATAAAATTTACCCTTTTAAAAATATGTAATTTAATGATTTATATTATATTCATGTGTTATATAGCCACTACTACTAATTCCATTTCATTTTCATTACTCCAAAAAGGAACTCTGTAAATATTAGCAGTCACTCCTTATTTCCCTTTTTTCTCAGCCCCTGGGAGCTACTAATCTGCCATTGTCTTTATGCATTTTTTTTCATGATAGCTCATTTATTTAGCATAATATAATATGTGGTCCTTTATGTCTGGCTTCTTCCTCTTGGTATGTTTTCCAGGTTCATCCGTTGGCCTTGTATTCTACAACCTTGCTGAACTCATTTCTTAAATCTATGTATCATTCTTTATTTCATTCTTTTTGAGTGAATGAATGAATAATAAACCACATATGGATGTGTCACATTTTGTCCATGATGTAAATACTGTAAATTTTCCTGGGCACTTTTTTATTTGGACATTTGTTTTTTGTTCTCTTGATTATAAACCTATAAGAAGAATTGCTGTACTGTGTGGTAATTCTAAATTTCACCATGAGGAACATTCAAACTGTTTTCCAAAGCACTGCATATTTTGTGTTCCTACAAGCAACAACTGATTATTTCTGTTTTTCCACATCTTCACCAACACTTATTTTTGTCCATTTTTTTTTGCTTGTGTTCTTTGAAGCACAAATGTTTTAAATTTTGATGAAATCCAATGTATTCTGTTTTTTTTTTAAATCTTGTGCCTCTAGTGTCTAAGAAATTGTATGATATGAAACTCTAAGTCTAATATTCTAATTAGTATAGACTAGAGTATCGTCTAAGAAATTTAAAAGATCATTGCTTAGACCGGGGATGTGAAAATTTACTCCTATAGTTTAAGAGTACCATAGTTGTAACTCTTATATTAAGGCCTTTTTTGTCTATTTGGGCTTATTTTTTTGTATATCAGTCCATTTTTGCATATGGGTCCAACTTCATTCTGTATGAGGTAAGATTGAAAAATATGGTGAGTATTGAAATTTTAAAAACTATTACAGTAAAAGACATAGTGTCATTAATCCTTCTCAGAACACCCCTCTTACTTCAAACACTCTCATCCCATCATTCCTGCCACTTTCTGAAGCAGTTCCAGAAGTCCTCTTTCGTGAATGACTTTGATTACACTGTTGTGGCTGCTCGATATTCTGAATTGAGTAAAAACATTTACCTTTCATGGTCATTTTTACTGTAGAGAAGAGCCAGAAGTTGTACAGTGCCAGAACTGGGGAATAAGTTAGATGAGGACACGTTGCCGTGTTTTTGCAAGCTAGCCTTTTCATCGGATGGGCCCTGACAGCAGCGTTCACCACATTTTTGGATCACACCTCATAAAGACACTCACAGGAGATCTTCCAGAACTGCTTCAGAAAGTGAGAAGAATATTGGACAAATGTTTCAAAGCCAAGGGGCTATTTTGAGAAGGAGTAATGGCAATATATATTTTACTGTAATATATTTTAAAATTTAAACATTCGTTATATATGGCTGCTAGCACCATTTTCAGAAAGATTACTCTTTCCATGTTGAACTGTTCTGGCATTTTTGTTGGAAATCAATTAATCAAAAATGTAAGGGTTAATTTTGGGACTTTGAATTTTATTTCATAATTTATATGTCATCCTTATGTCATTTGTACACTGTTTTTACTACTGTAGCTTTGGAGTAAGTTTTCCAAGTAAAGAAGTGTAATTCCTTCAATTTTGCTTTCTGTTTCAAGATTATTTGGCTCTTCTGGATAGATTCTTTGATATCCCAGGTGAATCTTAGAATTAGTTTGTAAATTTCTTGAAGGAAAAAGGCAT